AGAATGTGCCAACTTGACTCCTGATTCTTCCCTAGTTTAAAAAAAATTTTTTTTTATTTTTTTTTGAATAATTTTAAAACCATGATGATATCATACCTCAATATTTCCTAAGAAGGTAATAAGCAATTATATTGCGGTTACTAAAATAGTCATTGGAGGCTTATCGATCTTTAATTAGATTAAATCAATTAACCTTCTTTTTTTTTATTTTGAACACGAAATTGTCTAACATGTAAACACGTAATAAATTCATTTTCGAAAAAAAAAAAATTATATTTTTTTTTCACAATTATTTATTTATTATAATTGACAATTAATTATTTTATTTATTAATATTATTTTATTTAATTTTATTTTATATTTATTTATTATTATTGTCAATTAGGATTTTCGTATAAACGTATATTATTAATTGTCAATATTTCCTAAAAAAATAAACAATTTTAACGTGGCTGTGATTTAATTAAATTAGTAGTTGGGGGCAGATTTAGTTAAAATATAATTTTTTTTTTATTACTAATCTCATTCGTTAAAAAAAATCGTTAATTTTACAATAAAAAATTTTTTCAATTTTTTTTATAAATAAAACCCAAGTTCGACAGGTGATATATATATATATATAGGGAGGGTGGGCGCTACTCTAAGCGATAATGATTAATCGCAATAAGTAATGATTATTTAAAATTTCACCCAAAGTATTCCCTTAAACGTATAGGTAGGTCATGGGAATTTCATGGAGTACATATATATAAAAAATATAAAAATAAAATTAATTATAACCTTTGCGTTACAAGGTACAAATAATTAAAATAGGGAAAATCGATGACTTGTTTTCTATCCTACGATAACATACGACCATTACATTACCTAATTCTGAAAAACTCCTTTCTTATACACTTCTACTAATTCAACGATTTAGTAGCGGCAACGCTATTATTTTATCTTCATTATTATCTTATTGTTGGATAATAAAGTGACATTATGATTAAATCTTGGACTTGGTACATTAACTAAACTTCCTTCACCCCAATTAAGATTTATTGTATATAAAATAAGCACATCATTTAAAATAATATCACTATCGGTTCTTCCGCCACACCACATAAATAAAATTTTCCATTATAGTCTATAACTCCTTTTTTCTAATTGTATTAATTCTAGTTATTAAATAAATATGATTAAGGTTTTTTCAATTAAATTGAAGCTGGATAAATAGTTTAATTTTAAGAAATTGTTGATTTTATTATAACCAAATCCATATCCGAAATTCTCTAAATAATCACCAGATTTTTGAATAAAGATTTTAATTCAAATAGTTTAGTTAAATTAATAATTTATCAAGTAAAATGAGTATCAAAAGATGAAATGAACAGATTCTAATATATTTAATTGGTTATAAGTTTAAGATTGACGTAATAAGAAATAATAATAAAATTTATAAAAATATTTGTACTATTTAAGTTTTTTCGAAAATACTTCTAAAAAATTATTGATAATTATTTTTTCACAATTCTTTAATTAATCCGAATTTCATTCTATACTTAAACGTCAAATCATTAATATAAATAGCTACATTATTGTAAATTTAATTGGGAATTGCTAAACGTTGCCTGGGCAATTGTCGCCTGGGTTTTTTTTATTAAAATATGTCACATGATGTACAATATATAAAGAGTAAATTTATTTAGTCTGATTTTTCAACTTGCTAATTTTCGATCGGCTAAACTTAAAATTTTTATCGCAAGATATTTTTAAAAAAAATTGTTTTGCAAACATATTTTAATATTCAAAATAATCTTATTTAATGAAATTTTATTTGCAAATATTAAAATTTAAATCATACATTTAAAAAAATCACTGTATTTATTTTTTAATGAAGCGATACAAATAAAAGAAAAGATAAGTAAATTAAAATGATCAAGAAAAAAGATGCTAATAAAAAAAATGAAATAACAAATGAGTAATGAAAAGTAATAGAAGATGAAAGAGAGTAAAAAAGAGTAATAAGTGGGAGATGAAAAGGAGCGATGGGAAGATGAAGAGGAATAATGAGAAGATGAAGAAGGGTGATGGAAGACGAAAATGGGTGATGGGAGACAAAAGGAGGGGAAGATGAAGAGGAATAATAAGAAGATGAAGAAGGGTGATGGAAGACGAAAATGAGTGATGGGAGACAAAAGGAGTGATGAAAGATGAAAAGGAGCGATGAGAAGATGAAGAGGAATAATAAGAAGATGAAGAAGGGTAATGGGAGACGAAAAAGAGTAATAAGTGGGAGATGAAAAGGAGCGATGGGAAGATGAAGAGGAATAATGAGAAGATGAAGAAGGGTGATGGAAGGCGAAAATGGGTGATGGGAGACAAAAGGAGGGGAAGATGAAGAGGAATAATAAGAAGATGAAGAAGGGTGATGGGAGACGAAAATGAGTGATGGGAGACAAAAGGAGTGATGAAAGATGAAAAGGAGCGATGAGAAGATGAAGAGGAATAATAAGAAGATGAAGAAGGGTAATGGGAGACGAAAAAGAGTAATAAGTGGGAGATGAAAAGGAGCGATGGGAAGATGAAGAGGAATAATGAGAAGATGAAGAAGGGTGATGAAAGGCGAAAATGGGTGATGGGAGACAAAAGGAGGGGAAGATGAAGAGGAATAATGAGAAGATAAAGAAGGGTGATGGAAGACGAAAATGAGTGATGGGAGACAAAAGGAGTGATGGGAGATGAAAAGGAGCGATGAGAAGACGAAGTGGAATAATAAGAAGATGAAGAAGGGTGATGGGAGACGAAAAAGAGTAATAAGTGGGAGATGAAAAGGAGCGATGGGAAGATGAAGAGGAATAATGAGAAGATGAAGAAGGGTGATGGAAGACGAAAATGGGTGATGGGAGACAAAAGGAGGGGAAGATGAAGAGGAATAATAAGAAGACGAAAATGAGTGATGGGAGACAAAAGGAGTGATGGGAGATGAAAAGGAGCGATGAGAAGATGAAGAGGAATAATAAGAAGATGAAGAAGAGTGATGGGAGACGAAAAAGAGTAATAAGTGGGAAATGAAAAGGAGCGATGGGAAGATGAAGAGGAATAATGAGAAGATAAAGAAGGGTGATGGAAGACGAAAATGAGTGATGGGAGACAAAAGGAGGGGAAGATGAAGAGGAATAATAAGAAGATGAAGAAGGGTGATGGGATACGAAAAGGAGTGATGAGAGACAAAAGGAGTGATTGGAGATGAAAAGGAGCGATGGTAAGATAAAGAGGAATAATGAGAAGATGAAGAAGGGTGATTGAAGACGAAAATGAGTGATGGAAGACAAAAAGAAGCGATGGGAAGAGATGGGAGACGAAAAGGAGTGATGAGAGACAAAAAGAAATGATGGGAAGTGGAAAATGAAAAGATGTAATAGAAAATAATGGGAGACGAAAAGAATGAAATAATGAGAAGTAATAGGAGGTGAAAAATGATGAGAGACAAAAAATAAAAAAATGATCATGATAGGAGGTTGGGTAGCAAAAGATAATGATAGGAAACCAAGTAAAAAATAAACCATAAAGTAAAAAAAAATGAAGTTAGTAAACATATCTTTATTAACTGTAGAACCGAATAAAATTAATGAAAAACGAAATATGAAACAGAAACAAATAACTGAACCTTAATTGCAGATTCGGAGGGACTAAAAGACCTAAAAATAATGAAATAGAGTTAGTAAGAAATAAAGTGTAAGAATGTGAGTTAGAAATAAAAATAAAAAGAAAAAAAGAAAAATACCTTGAGGTTGAAAGAACCGAGGAAACGAACCTCGAACCTATAATGAAAATGAGATTCAATAAACAAATAAACATGACGCGATCATGTGGCCAATCTGGCCAATCAAAAATACCAATTTTCAATATAATTTATATCATTCTAATATTATAATTATAATTTAATACATATTATTTTATTTTTAATAACTTAATTATTACCTATATTAAATTCCTAATTATAAACAAAAAACCGCTGTAACCATCTATATTATAATACTATTTAAACAAACTCATTGGTCTTGGTGCGAAAAATATCTAATTTTTATAATAGACCGTAATACCAATTGAAATAATGATTTAATTGTTATCTATTGAAGATTAAAGAACGCGTGAAAGGTTATCGTTTCACTGAGAAATCCGTTTTGATCTATTTGATCTTCTTTTTGACTACTGATTAGTCATACTTATATAATTGATTTTTACATTATAACTAATCTTAATTATGTACGATGTAATTCTTTAATATAATAACTAGAGTAATTGAAACAATGTGTTTCTATGTGACAATTGTTTTACCAATTGATTATCGTACCATCAGTTAATACATATTACAATCACATTTATATTATATTTTATCCCACGGTTAAAAATTTGGGTAAAAAGTCCATCAATATTGGAATAAAAAATCAATTATTATTAGTTAAAATAAATATATTAAAGGGCTTCATGGTACGGATACCGTGAGATAAAACAGTTATTTCACGGAGTCACATGATTTTCACGGCAGCGCTGAAATAACTATTACATATATTACTTATATGTACATTATATCATATACTGTTTCTTTAATTAAATAATCAAATAATATTTAATCGTAATATGTGATATAAAAGTTATTATTACTCATATTACATAGTTCCGATCTTTTTTTTCATCGGGTGCAAATTTTTGTGTGTGATAATTGTATCCATCTTATCAAAATGTAATATTTTTCTCACGAGTTTAATAATGTGAATTCATTTGAGCCATGAGTCATCCTTTGAGTCATCCTATACATGTATAAAAAAAATTATATAAATATACCCATACATACATACATGAATTTTAAAAATACGCAAAAAAAAACTTTTCTTTTTTCTTTACCAACACCGTTACTCTCAAATATACAACCTCGCACTTCTTATTTTTTTTGTTACTCTTTACTCTACATTTCTTCCAATATATATTTCAAAATTTTTTTTAAATATCAACACAAAATGCAGTCAACTTCAGATTTTCAACAACAACAACAAGAAAAAATTTCTCAAATACGTCATCCTGGAATTTTCGCAAACTTTATATATAAAATTGTAGAACTTGCTACCTATACTTCCGCTTTTGCCACTAATGCTATTAATATATTAAGTGAAAATACGTTAAATACTGGAGGTCATTCAACAAGACGAAATTATGGTTACGATGATATCGATTATGATGAAAATGTCTATGATCATAAGGAAAAAGATGTTTCTACTTGGGGTGAAAATGTAGAAACTGTTGAAGATGAAGAACTTCCTCCACCTTACGCAACAACATTTGCAACTACCAATACAACAACAACCGAAACTAAACTTTCACTTACAATTGATTATCCAACTATTCAAACTTCTCAAAAAATTTCAACACCAACACACTCACCAACGAATTCAACTTCACGAAGAAGAAAATTCCGTGTTCGTCGTGGCCGTAGAATTATACGTCGCAAATCATCTTCCATTGATATGAATATTATTGAAAATACGGATACTCATACTGATAATAATGTCGATCATGATGTTGATAATTTTAATATGGATAGTCATATTGATAATAATTTTGATGATGATGTTGATACTGATAATAATGTCGATGATGATGTAGATATTATCTATGAAAGACTTAATTCCAAAATATCTGATATGATAGCCGAAGGTGAAGCTGCTTTAATCAGTAAGGTTGAAATTACAGAAGTTGACATGATACTTGCTGAGGAAAAAGAATACAAAGAACGAATTATGAAAGAATTTGGAATTCAAACTCCACTTCGTAGGCGAGCTCGTACAAATTTTAATGTCCACAATTACAATTACAATTACAATTTTTAATTGGATAATTTATATTCTCCTTTTTTCTTATTCATTTCTTTACAAAATTATCCATTTAGTAAATACTATTCTACTTTCTTATTTTTTCTCAATTCATATATTTTATATATTTTTCAAAATTATCTTATATTATGTAGCTAGGTCCATTGCTTACCAAATATAGCATGGAGACATAATCTTTACCCTTTGGTCAACTTGGGATTACTTGACCATTCTTTAGATAGATAATTTTTACAAGGGGATCGTTTGCATCGCCCTTAATTGGTGTCAGAGAGATCCTTTGTCTTGTAAAAATTTACCCTTTCTTGATCATTTGACCATTCTTAGATAGATAAATTTTACAAGGGGATCATTTGCATCGCCCTTAATTGGTGTCAGAGAGATCCTTTGTCTTGTAAAATTTACCTTTCTTGATCATTTGATCTATCTCATGTGATTTCCTTCTTCACATGTGATATCCTTTATTTCATTCCTTTGTTGAGTTTCTTTCCTTAATAACTTATCAACTCAACAAAAATCCATCACCGTTGGTTCCACAATTCTGTGTCCAAGTTCAATTCTTGGAGGTGATTTTCTTTATCTTCTTTTTTCAATTTTCTTTCTTCTTTTATAGGAGTTCCAGACGAAATTATAAACTAGACTTTAGGTAGAAAATATTTTATTATTTGTTTTTTTAGTAATATTTTTAACATTACTTATTTTTCTTTTTCTTTTAGGGATTACTGAGACGAACTGGACTCCTGTGTTACAAAACAAATGATCACACAGCAAGGTTTGTGCGTCTATATAGTACATTCAGTATTCTTTGCACAAAGAGTAATAAAATTTTTATCACGTTGTCCTTAATGGCGATTATGACGTTCATTTGAAGAATCTCTCACTCCAAGACAGGTGATAAAACAGAGAATCTAACAATGATGGTATTTTCAGTTTTTTCGTGTGGCAGTGTTAAGCCATCACAGGAATTGTTTGAAAATCTAATGACAGAGTTGAAGTTCCTACAATCATAACTCTCTCCGCCGATCTTTCTAACCAAAATTTTCACGTTAGAAAAAAACAATTTTTTATTATAAAACTATACACAAATATTTTAAAACTTACAGTTTTAATGCAGGAAGAGAAGATTAACAACTTTATGGAGAAGTTTTTTGACTGAAAGAAAATCAACCTTAATATAAAAATGTTTAATTTATTTATTATATATAATACGGACTTCATTGATAAAACACAAAAAAAATCTTATTTTTTTTTTTTTTTTTGAATCAACCAAAATTGATCGTACACTACATACATTGTGAGTATGAAGATATATGAATTTAAATTCTTAGTGGAAAAGAAGCAACATTTCTTCTAGAAGTTTTTAGCATAATAATGCAAAACAACTGGTATTTTATTGAATTTTTAATTTTTTTCATAAAAAAAAAGAAAAGTTAAAAAACTTAATCTAAAGGCCTATAACTAAAAATTAGACTTTAGCACCAGCACACCACACCTCCCCACCTCTTCAAACAGGTAATCCGAAGCGGTCTGTGAATAGAAGACAATGCCGCTGCCACAAACCAATCTATATGATAAAAGTTATATAATTATTCACCCCGACCACGTGAAAATTTGAAATTTTGACGACACCCTTTTTTGTGGGCGCGATTTTTTTAACGTGGATGTGACAAATAGGCATCAGACCACCCAACAAAGCTGAGATAAATATACTCTGCGCCAGTCACATGTACGGATGACAAGTAACGTAAATCAGAATATCAAAACACTATTCCACAATTATATGAAATCCATTATGGTATCATATTATCGATCAAGGTGAAACTTGCTCAAGTTGCGCTATCGTGCCATTTGATTATCTGTTAATTCTTTTACCTTCCATAACTTTTTTTTTTAAAAAAAAAAAAATGAAACTTTCAAAATATGATGGAAATATTCATCCAAATGAATGGATAAAACAAATTCAATTGTATTTTAAAAGAAAATGATATTCTTAAAATTGCGAAAATGATGATTGATCCCATTATAACTAAATAAATAATAATAAATTATAGAAATAATTCTTTTTTAATTTTTAAAAAATCATGTAAAAGAAAATTACAATTATTAAAATATTATGCATGATGATATATCAAATTTTATTATAAAATATTTTGAAGAGTAAAAAAAAAAAAAATATTACCTATTAATTTAATTAATTAATTTAATTTTGTAAAAATATTATGTTAAACCTTTTCTGGTTCATATTTCCGAATAAATTACATTTTTGATAATGAACTGTCCTTAAAGATCTCGCATGGAAAAACTGGAGCTGAACAAAATTTCGGTTTAAAATTTGTATATTCGTTTTTATTTTTATTTTTATTTTTATGGCAGATGAACAATTTGGACATACATGAGTTAAGAACTAATTAAAGAAAAAAAAACATGACTATGTAACAAACAAGCCAACAATAGCTGACAACATCTGATCTTTAGCAGGAACTGGTACAGTATTTGTATATTCGTTGTTATCTGATTATTAATTCTCATCATTAAAAAGGTTAGTCACGATTTGATATATAATTTAATTTATCAAGTCAATTGTTTTTGGAGAAATTTTTTGGTAATTTTTTTTTTTTAATAAAGAAGGGACTAAAATTTTAAGAAGGAATTATATTCGTATAGAACTTATTTATTTTTAGAATTTTGTATTTTTGTTCAAAAAATTCAAAAAAAATTATCAATATTTTTTGATGAATGTCAACTTCAAACGTAATACCATCTATTTCATGATAGAATGAAAAAATCATTCACGAATAATTGATAAACTGTAATGTATGAAAGTGATAACCAATTATATTTTATTGTACAATAAGTTATGATTGGGTACAGTACGGTTTAGCTGACCGCACAGTACATTTAATTAATAAATAATAAATTAAATCATAATAAATTACATAAAGCATAAAATCGTATAGAAAAAATCTTAGAATGATCATTATTTTTTCAGGGTTGGTATCTTTATTTGTCCATTTTAGCTTGAATGAAATAGTAATGATACTTAAAGTTCAAAATTCATAGAAAGGAATATTAAAATATATAACCGTTATTCTACAGCATATGTTTTTGGTTCTAAAAAGATAATAATATTTTTATCATTTTCCGTTAAAACAAAATCTTATGTCTAATTTGAAACTGAATTCAAGATTCATTTTTAAATCATGATTGATCTGATTAATATCATAGAATATAAAGAATTTTATAAACCCGCTACATGATCATTTAATTACGTACCGTACATTGTCATTAATTAGCGTGAAAACTGGAATAAATTATGGTTATCATGTAAACTTTGAATGTATAAATTTTTCCAATCGAGCAAGATTCTGGTTCACATAATACGTACTGGTCAATTCTATTTTAATTCAAAAAATTTTTAACGAAAATGTCTCGTTTTAATTCAAGTCCAAGCTTAAATCCTCAAAATATATTATTAATTCTTACTATTTCGACTTGTAAAATATATCCCAAAGTCTCATGGTCATGGAGTTACATTTTTCATTTTCTTTCGGCATGTGATAAATTACAATATATCACCAAGTATCAATACGCAAGGTGATTGATTGTGTATAATTGCGTTAAATATTTTATATTTCCACGTTGTTATTTCCGGTTTGGAATGCGGCTTTGTTAATTGTTAAGGCTCAGCGTTTAAGGATAGAGTACTGAAATTTAACTATCTTTGAAAGATTAAAATTTCCATTGAATTTCTTACTCATAATCTTTTAATTATCTGAAACTTTTTTTTTATTGTTCCTCAAGATTAATTTTTAAATAGAGCTAAAGGCTGAGATTTAAAACGTATTAGTAAGCCACGTATAGTCGTATACAAATAATGTAAAGCCAAATGTGGCTTGCCAAGTACTGACATCGCCACAATATTCATTGAAAATTTATAATTTTTGATGTTATAATTTTATATAAGAGTACGGTTGGTATAATTACTTACTTCCGGGTGGTGTTAATCACAACAGGATGAAAAATTCTCTAATGGAATTTTTTTTAATAGAAAGAAAATTTTTTTCTTTACTCCTCTTTTTATTTTTGACTAATCTTCACAATACGGAAAATGTTCTCCTCAATTATTCTCTTCTTCACATTCTGTTCACAGTTAAAACAAAGTGCTTCTTTAAACATTCCATTGAATATTAAATATGGAATTTCAATGGAACTATTCACTATTGCATGTTAAAGTATTATTAGCTTTAACAATAGAAAATAACTTTTTTGAAGAGTCATTTGTGCTATGAGAACTTCGTATATTTCTAGATATATCATAAGAATTTCATCTAAAAATCTTGTGTTCATCACTTTCATGTGAAGATAACTTGGATTTGAATAGATTACACGCCACTTGTCACACTCTCCACATTGAATTAGTGTACCTACATTTACAGTATTGTGCACTAGATCTAAGACCACTTCATTATTATTTTCATTTTCTCTTTTAAAGAAAGTCTATATTCTTATGTAGTTTCAGTTCTTAACCATTTAGCTCTTCGAAACTTTTATATTTTTACATCTAACGCTAATGTTGGAATTGGATCGGGAAAGTTATGAATTTTAAGCCTTCCCAACCTTTTAAAGATGCAGAATTGCAACTTATTCGTAGACATTTTTAGTATCAAAACGGAACAAAAAAAAAATCAATTTCTGATTATAAGTTAGCCGATCACATGAAATATAATAAAAACTTTTTATTAATAAAAAATAAAACCCGGGTCCCCGGGTCAATTTTAAATTTTAATGTTACGTGAATCAAAAATATTAATTTGCGTGGCCTTATCTGTGTAATTCACTCATTTGTTGAACGCGATAGTAATAATTTTATTGTGAAAGAAGTTATTGTTTAATCATAGAAATAATAATATATATAATATAAAATAATTTACATAAAATTTAAATTTTTATTTAATTAAAAAATACATAAAATAAACACATAAAAGCACCTTTCTACAAAC